AGGCTTCAAGGGTAACAGGAGCATCCAGCAGCGCCTGGGGGAATCAGCAGCATGAAGGTGGTTGCCCTCAGGGGCTGGTGAGGACTGGTAACACAGAGGACAGCTAACCACAGAGGTCAGACACACTAAGGAGAAGAGAAGGGGCTAAGGGCCATGCTTGCTTTTCTCTGTGTGTCTCAGGGTAGAGAGGCTTAGATGCACTGAAATGGAAATGCAAAGGAAAGAGGATTATGGGAAATCACTGAAGAGCAGCTCAGGCTATGAGGCTGGCTTTACACCCACATCTTTTTACAACTGAGTGGGTCCTTCCATCTGTGAGTCACAGCGTGCCCTCCTTCCCCCTCCCTCCCTCCTTCCCTCTCTCCTTCTCTCCTTCCCTCCCTCCTTCTCTCCTTCCCTCCCTTCCTCCCTGTCTTCCTGTCTCCCTTTCTCCTTCCCTCCCTGCCTCCCTACTTCTGTCCCTTCCTTCCTCCTTCTGTCCCTCCCTCCCTTCTTCCCTCCCTCCCTTTCTCTCTTCCTCTCTGACTTCAGAGTACCCCTGGCAGCTTCCAGCACAGAGACCTGACCTCTCTCTGGTGTGTTTTAAATGAATTTGTGTTTTCAGTGAGTGCGTTTACATACTTTACCAACCAAAAGAGGAAAGTGAAGGCAATGCTGCCCGCAGACAGTGGCTCCTGCTCCTGCCGGCTCTCCTCTGTGCCTCCAAGGCCTTGTAGATAATCTCCCCTGGCTCTTAGTTGAACTCAGTGAAGTTCTTCTTCAGCCTTTCTTAAACATACTGGCTCCTGTGCTGCCACAGCCTGCTTTCCCTTGTTTCATTTCCTCCAAAATGACGGTGTCCCAGTGTGGGGTTAAGAGTGTTTATTATCCTGAGTGTGCTAAGGTTGTCTACTGACCATGTCTCTTCACAAACAACCCCTATTTCTCCTGCAGTCATGTTTGCCTTAAAAAACAAAAGCTGATTTGTCTTGACTTTCATTTGCCTGTTGCTGTCTTTCTAACAAACGATTATTATTTTCCCTGTTCTCCCTTGAGACTGCAGGAGTCTCCCCTCACCCTGGAGCCTCCCACAGGCACATGCTAACCATTCTTCTGCCTGCTGCTGCTCCCGGCTCCTGCTTCTGCCCCTGCCTGCTGTTGCTGCTGCTGCTTCTGCCCCTGCTGCTGCCCCTGCCTCCTGCTTCTGCCCCTGCCTGCTGTTGCTGCTGCTGCTGCTGCTGCTGCTGCTGTCTCTCCCTGCTGCCTCCTGCTTCTGCTCCTGCCTGCTGCTGCTGCTGCTGCTGTCTCTCCCTGCTGCTGCTGCTGCTGCTGCTGCTGCCCTGCTACATCTGCTGCTTCCTCAGTTTACCCTTCCTGTTGACACTGAGAATTCTCTCTGGGGACTTGGGAGACAAAGTTGTCAAGCACTGTTTCTGTGGCTGGCTACATAACAATACCTAGAAAAGTGTTTACTCGGTGTTTACGGTGTCCATGACAGTCTAGCTTCTGTTTTTGCTGCTGAGATGCCTGGTCCTACTATGCTTTCCTGTCCCATGGCCTGTTTTTTCCCTTGGTTTTCTTGAGGTGGGGGTCTTCCTTTATAGCCCATGCAGACCTCGTATTACAGTCCTCCTGTCTCTGCCCCTCAGATGCTTTCACACAGGCGTGCCCACCATGCCTGGCTTTCTCCTGGGAGGTTTTAAATAACGTCTTTAGGCCTGTATTTCAGAAACGTGTGTCTTGAAGTTCTGTGCTGTTCTGGGTGCAGGCGGGGTGCCTGGCGGCACCGTATGGAGCTCTGTCTCCTCAGGGCCTTGGCGGCTTTCCCACCTCTCCTTGTCATTTCATTCTGCTGTTGCTTCTTCTTTGGTTTAATATCGGGCTTTCTGCTGTATTCCTGATTTTATTTCCTATCATCTTATGGGAGGAAACATTTATATTTATTTATTTATAGTCCAATCCTTCTACTGTGATTTTAAACTTTGTTTATCTTATAATTAGTTTTCAAGATTACTTTCTTTCTCACAACCACTTGCTCGTGTTTCATAGATACTTGTTTTCTCATTTGCTCGCCCACCTCAGCGAATCACTCAAGTTCAGTAAAGAAGTTCAGTCAGCTGACTCTGTGCTGGGCAGGATTTCCCTGGCATTTCATGTTCTGCTAACAGGTGATCTGACGGGCCTTTTGCTGCCTCCCACGGAAGGGATCAGCCTTACCCCCCTGTACTATCCTATGGATCTCAACTGCTCTTGAAAATTAAAAATAGTAATTTTAAATGTTTGATAGGGGAGTTGGAACTCAAGATAATTGTCTGTAAAATAAAATCAAGAGAAGGAGAAAAAGGACAAAAGACAAAAACAGATTAAAAAAAAAAAAAAAGACCAAATAGGAATCCCCAATATTAAACTAAAAGAAGCTCCAGAAAGCCACAGGGAAGATATGCAGAAAAAAAAAAAATGACAGAAGAGGTGAAGAAAGTTTCTTAGTTTAGAGAAGGCTTGTGTGGTTTGGGGGGGGTTGTTTTGGGAGCGGGTGGGGGAGTGTGTGTGAGCCACAGCGTGATTCATGTGATTCACGCTCTGTAGCAGAGACCTGCGTACTGCAGGGTCCTTAGTGACTCCATGCTGTGCTGACCACACCCCCTCACAGGTCAGCTCAGCTCACTGCTGCAGAAGGTCCCACATCACTGCGGAGCAGGCGTGGCAGAACCTGAGACTAAGGCCGTTCACATCGTGAGGGACCAGGCGGCAGAGAGTAAGGCAGGAACCAGGGGCTGGCGTGGCTCTCCCAGGCGCACCCTGTGCCCTGTTCCCACCGTCCAGTCCCACTTCCTCAACGTTCCCCAGTCTCCCCACATTTCACTGGGAAAAGTGTGAACTGTGAGGAGCCGTTGAGGTTCACCAACACGCGGTGATCCCTTATGAAGTACAGGAAACAATTTGGTGTTCACATCAGGACAAAGCCCGTGACCCTATTGGCACGCTCAGGGAAGTGTGTAACACCAGCATGAGAGCCGTGAAGGAAGTTGTCCTCCCTCCTGCAGGGACCCCTGAGAGCTGGAGAGAGCGCCACAGAAAGCCAGGCTGGCATGCTATCAGAAGGTGCCTGAGGTGCTCGGAACAGAAGCAGCGCCGCTGTCACCATAGGAACAGAATGGGGGCGCTGTGCGCGGTACTAGGACTGCAGGCTCAGCGCAGGGGACAAACCTCTGTCCGTCCTTCCCACCTTACAGCTCAGTTCCCTCTCCAGGAATTTCTCTGTTTCTTTCATGACCTCAGAGTCAACTAATAAACAACACAGACTGCATTTAGATTAGAACAAATGACAAAATTAAATTCACAATATTTCCAAACCCCCTTTGGCTCTGGGTTTTAATTTTCTTTCATTGCTGGATTTTTCTATTCTGTGACCTAGGCACACTGCTCCCCAATCGAGCATATTTGGTCTTTGGCTAGTGATGTCTCTTCGTCGTCTCTGTAAGGATTAGTAAGGCCTGAATCCACTAAGTCCCAGGCCAGCTGCCATTGAGGTATACCACATCTGTAAGCCTGAACAGGACATCTGGGACAGCCATCCTCCTAACTGGGATCTTCAGGATCCTCGCTCCCAGACAGCCATGGCTGGACACCCCCTCTCCACAGGCTCACCGTGCCCGTCACAGACCCCGCCTCCCCTTCCTGGCTTCTTCCACTGACTGTGAAAGGCAGACTTTGCTGTTCTTCAACATTTTTGAGATAGCAGTGAGATAGTGGTGGAAAATCTGCAAGGGTCTGTAAGGTTGCCTCTGCAGTGTGTCTGTCTGCTCCCATCTTGTTAATTCCTGCCCTCCTGGGTGTGTCTGCTGCTTCTGTCTTGGGTCGGCTTGGGGAGGGGAGATGTGAGCTTTCACAGGATGGAGTAGGCAGAAGATGTGCAGGGTGCTCAGACTGTTTGCGTCACAGCCGGAGCGCATAGTGTGTTCAGAAAGTCCCATCCTGCAGAGGACCCAAGTTCAGTTCCTAGCAAGCACATAAGGCAGCTCACAACTGCCTATACCCCCAGCTGCTGGGGTCTGAAACCCCTTTTTAGACTCCATGGGTATCTGCAACATGTGTACAAAACTCAAACAGGGGCACCCACACATACACACAAGTAAATCTTTATAAAGTGCACATCTGTGTTTGACCACACCGTTCTTATTCCCCATCAATAAATAAATAAATGTGAAACAGTCTACCCCACACAGAGTTTTCCATCTTTTAAGACATCTTTGTGACATTCTTATCTGCAGTGTTCACACTTGAAATCCATGCAATCAAGCTGCAAAAAGCATCTCCGTGTTTCAGTAAGTTTGGAATTCTGTGCTGAGCCTGCAGCCCAGGAGTCTTGGATCAGACGCCCCTGGCTGTGGCTTTATTTTTCTATTGAAAGTTACAGAACCCCTCAGTTGGCCACTGTGGACTTGGGTCAGATAATACCTACACACCTGCCAGGAAAGCCATCAGCTCCGAATTTGGAGTAAGCGAAAGGGACAAAGAGCTCGTATATCAGGTCACAGGGAGAGAAAGAGAAAGGCCACAGTGTGAGGCAGCGCACACTCACCTCCCACCCCAGCTCCAGGGACCCAGCATCCTCTTCTGGCCTCACAGCCACCTGCACATCCAAGGAGACAGGCCGTGCACACACATCAGTAAACAGTAAAAATAGCAGGAGGTAAGAGACCCTGGCCTTTCTTCTGCTTCTTTTGCTTTGAGGCAGGATCTCACCTAGTGAAGTTGGCTCAAAACTCACCGGGTAGTTGAAGATGACCTTGGATTTCTGATTCTCCTGCCTCCACCTCCCACGTGCTGGGATTGCAGGCTCTTGCCTGCAGACCTGGTTCCCGCAGTGCTGGGGGCGAAACCCAGGACTTCTTGCACGCTGGGCAAATGCTACCAGCCCTGATGTATTTTCTTGTACTTGTTAGCTGAGCAGAGGACAAGCCATGGTCTGTGTGAACCCAAGATGCTAACACCGCCTCTCTCTCCCTCTCCTGTTTTAGGGAATGCTGTCGGTTTTTTGGAGACAACGGCCTGACTCTGAAAGTGTTCTTTACCAAGGCAGCTCCTTTTGGTGTCCTGTGGACTCTCACAAACTACCTGTACTTACACGCAATAAAGAAGATAAACGCCACAGACGTCTCTGTTCTCTTCTGCTGCAACAAGGCCTTTGTTTTCCTGCTGTCATGGATCGTTCTCAGGGACAGATTCATGGGCGTGAGGGTAAGTTCTCCACTGTCTGTCCTCCTGCATCCCACAGTCATGCCAACCAGAGCCTGCCCGTTGGCGTGCTGGACTGCCAGCACCGGCTGACAGCCACTGTCCCGACTCTCAGCAGCACTCAGTTCTTGCTGTAGCTTGTAGACCTTCTTGCTCGCCAACTGTGCTAGACCAGCACCTGTGAAATCCAAGGCTTTTCCACAGCATTCCCTGAAGTGTGCGCCAAGCAGGGAGTCAGCTGAGGAGTGGTGATGACCTTGCGCTGATCTCTGCCCGCCCCTTCTGATGCGCAGCGTTGGGCATGGGTGTGCCTACAGCTAGGGGCTATCTGGCAACATTCTGCCTCTCCGGCTAGGATGCACCTGAACCCCTGAGCACACCTTGGGTATGCACATGTGTGGGAAGCATGGGACCTGGACAGTGTAGTCTGAATCAAAAAATTAGAACTGGGATTGGAGGGGGCTGGGGGGAGCACATTTCATTTCAATCTGTAGATCAAAGGCAAATACAGTGGCGTTCCTCGTGTGGCCTGGAATTTTCCAGGAGAGTCATAGTAGACTAAACATTAGCCACTTTTCCTGACAGTGTGGAGCGTGACAAGTGGATGTCAGACACCAGCAGGAGGACGGAGAGGCCCAGGGAGAGGACACAGAGCTTTGGTGGCTCTCTGCCTGGCCCCCTGGTGGCCAGGGTCTGCCTTTGCTGTTCATGCTCTTGTCACAGAGCAGGACAGAACCCTGGCCCCTCGAGGTGCAGCTGATCATCTCCTCCTTCCTCCTGCACACTCAGGCCCCGGTGCTGGGGAGCCCCACTCTCGCAAGCCACGCTGGCAACCATGGAGAGGCAGCCGCCAGGCCCCCACTGTGTCCTTGCTCCACTTGGATACAATGACATCACCTTAAGGGTGGGCTGACACCCACCTGAGTTCCACAAACAGCAGTGGGGACATGAGTCAACTACTGGTTCATATTTTTAGCTTCTCAGCGGGTGGGGGGAGTTTGTTTTGAGGCTCGGTGTTAATTTTGGAATAAAAACTCACGCCCCGGGCTGCCGCCCAGAAAAGCCTTCAGCAGATACGTGGTGTGCTGCATCTCGGGGAGGACCGCAGGTGCTCCGCACAGATGGAGAGCTAAAGCCTCAGGGTCCCCGGGACACTGGTGCCTGCTGTCCCATTCCCAGCTTTACTTGGGGGACACACAACCAAGAGACTGCGTAGTGCTTTGGGGTGTGATGAGATACCCCAAGCAGGAAAGAGTGTGTTCAAGGTCAGCGGTGCTGGCTGCAGAGAAAACAGGCTGGTCTGAGGTAGGGAGACGTGGGCGTGGACAAATCTGACCTCTCGGCTGACTCGCAGAACGAAGGGTGGTTGAGAGCTGTGCTTGTGTGTTGACTGTGGAGAGGAAACTTCCCAGCGCCCCTCTGCTGGGGTGCAGCCTGCCAGTGTCTGAGGAAAGCGTTCACTGCAGGTTTGTGCTGAGGCTGTCAGTGGCCAGTGCTCCGGGAGAGGCCACGGGGCCAGCCCAGGGGCTCTTCTAACTGGAGACTACCCATTGCAATTGGCAGGGTCAACCCAAAGCTCAGGCCGCTAGTGGAATCTGGGAGACCGAACAGTAGACAGTTGGAGACATAAGCGCAGGGTCATTTCCAACTGTGCACAAATCCCTCGGCGTTCAGGTAGTGGGCAGGGCCAGGCAGCTGCTTCCGCTAGGGGATTTCCAAAGCCTTAAGAGCTATTGTAATTTCCAGCCTGGGGGCTGAGTGAACAGTGCCAGCTTCATAGTCATGAAGGATATGATGACCAAGGTTCCTCGTGTGTGTGTGTGTGTGTGTGTGTGTGTGTGTGTGTGTGTGTGTACAGGGTGATGGGGAGGTGAAAGCTAGGGGAGCAGCAAACAAGACTTATGGGATTAGAGCCATTGCGTCCAGTCACCCAGGTACAGATTCTTGAAGGTGGGAGGGGCACCTAGGCCAGGCAGACAGGCCTGAAAATAAGGAGATGTGCCTTGTGATACTTCGGAGACCCTGGTCATCCTGGAGTCATGGGGCAGGGTGCTGCAGAGGCTGCTCAGGCGTCCGTTCTCTACACACAAGTGTTGCCTGTGTGTGCCCTGGGCCAGAGCCTCTCCCATGGTGGCCAGATGCTCTACCGGGAGCAGGCGGCCAGACTGTGGGTCCCTTGGCTTTTCAGTCTTTAAAGTGGACAATGGGGAAGAGAGGTCACTGTCTGGTGCCCTGGATTAAGAAGTTGTATTCAAAACTTGTGAATCCACAGACAAACAGGGTCTGAGGAGACTTTACTGTAGCACCGAAAATGGGCAGGGAACATGTCACTGAAATCAAAACCAAAGCCCCCGTGCCTCAGTGCATGGAGCATGGAGCAGGTGGGCCTTCCACCTTACCCCTGGGCTCCCTGCACTCACAGATGGGAGGAGGGGATGGGCTCTGACCTTCTTCCTGAGAACCCTGAGTGTGAGGGGGAAGCTGTCCACACACCTCCACCTCCCGTAGGGGCTGCTGAGCTCGGAGAGCAGGCACCCCTGTCAGACCTGGACCTCAGGAAAGTCATTGTCTCTGGTGCCAGCTGCCTTGGTGAACCCACAGGGCCTGGCTTGTTTGTCTCCACAGCGGAGGGGAGCCAGGCAACCCTCACCTCTTCTGTCTTGACCCCTGACTCTTTTGCACAGCTGGGGAGGAAGCTCTTAACTGTTGATTTCTAACCAGTAGTGAAGAGAGTGGGGGAGGCTGGGCTCTGCCTTGCTAGTCTTCAGGAAAAATAACCCATTCTTCTCTGTCACATCAGATGTCAGTCATTTGGGCTTTTGGAGTCATCGGAAATCTGGTCTCTCTCTCTGTCTGTCTCTCTCTCACTCTGTCTTTCTGTCTCTGTCTCTCACTCTGTCTTTCTCTCCCTCCCTCTCTCTATCACTCTCTGGCTCTGTCTGTCTCTCTCTCCCTCCCTCCCTCCCTCTTCTCCACTCCCCTCCCCTCCTCCTCCTCCCTTCCCTTTTCCTGGGCTCCCTACATACCAGGCTGCCCTCATATTCACTAGGTAGCCAAGAATGACCCTGAAGTTTGATTGTCCTGACCCCACCTCCTCAGAGCTGGGGTTACGGGCACACAGCAGCACCCCAGGCGGACCCTACAGCTTAGGTCAGTTTTGGAGGCTCACCCCTCTCGTTTCCTGGGGCTCTGTAAATTCTGCGGCTGCCACCCTTCGCGCTTTGTTCTGGATTCCGGAGCACGCTCTCCTTTGTGCTAAGTACAGCGTATAGGGGAGATCCAGGAAGAGCCAGCTAGGGGAGAAGGGAGAGAAGCCACACTTCCAGGTCAGGATGTGGCCCGAGGCTCTCAATGGGCAGTGATGCAGTCAGGCTCTGCTGCTGGTGTGCCAGGGAGGACACCTCTGCTATTCCGGGCAAGGAACGCCGAATCCAGGCCCCGTGAGGTACCAAAGGCTGGGAAAGAGCTCAGTAGTTCCCAGGTGGTCACCAGCTGTCTCTCAGGCCCTGTCAAGACTGAGCAGCCTGTCCCCACCTGTCAGGGGGCCGCAGCCTGAGATGACAAGCCAGAGACCACCACCCTGGCTTCCCCTGCCTCAGGATTCAGGTTACACCAAGCTCAGGAAGGTGTCCCTTAAGGACCGCCCATCAGTGCCTCCACCGGCCCGGGGGTCAGGACAAAGCAACCCTCCCCTCCACCTGGAGGAACCCCTCAGGCCGCACACCCCAGCTCTCAAGCCCTGTGGCTCCCGAGTCCCTGACGACGGTCCCTCCCTCCCTACAGATTGTGGCCGCCATCCTCGCCATCGCAGGCATTGTCATGATGACCTACGCGGATGGCTTCCACAGTCACTCGGTGACGGGTATAGCCCTCGTGGTGGGCTCTGCGTCTATGTCGGCCCTCTACAAGGTAGGCTCGGTGAACCTGCTCTCCCAGCAGGCTGGGGGCAGCAGAGCTCTGGGGCCCTCAGCCCGTCCCTCTGGATGGGTGGTGTCTGGGCCTCTAAGAAGAACAGACACTTTCAGTGTGCATCAAGAGGTAGACAGCACCGGGGCAGGGCCCAGGCAGGCAGCTGAAAAACACCGGGTCCCTAGCCTGCTCTGTGTTTGTGCCTGATGGGGCATGAAGCCTGGATTACATGGGTAGCTTTGCTGGGTAAATCCTGGCCCACGAGTGGCTCAACACTACCTGTGAAATGAATGCACAAATGTATCCCTGGCAAGAGCTGGGCAGAGTGGCTCATGGTCTGTCCTGCCATGGTCATTCACTGAGGCAGGAGCACTGCCACAAGCAAGTGGTGAGCCTTTGCCTCAGAGAAGAAGGACAAAGTTTTGACAAAACGTTAGAAGTGGCCGGAAAGTGCTTCCTAACTGCCTGACTAGAACACAAATGGCTGTTCACAGCGCAGTGGGGCCTGCTGTGGGGTGGATAACGGGGCAGGGAGAGGATCTTCACTCCCTTTCCCTACTGCCTGCACGTATGTGAGTCAGTGACCAGGCAATGGAGCCACAAGGAGTCTCCTGAGAGGGTGTGCAGTCACAGCAGATAGTTGTAAGGGACGCAGCACTGTGAACACAGCGCACAACCTATGCACACCCATGCTGCTGGGTCTGAGCTCTGTGAGGCCGGATGCAACCGTGTCTCAGTTGCTCTTACACACGTGGGCTCCACCACTCCAGCAAGCCTCACCAACCTTCACTGACAGACAAGCGCGACCCCGCCGGAACGTGGCGCGCATGCACGGTCCTGCGTGGCCGCCGGTGTGTCTCACCTCCTCCTCTCTCGCGCAGGTTCTGTTCAAGCTGCTGCTGGGCAGCGCCAAGTTCGGGGAAGCGGCCTTGTTCCTGTCCATCCTGGGCGTGTTCAACATCCTCTTCATCACCTGCATCCCCGTGGTCCTGTACTTCACCAGGGTGGAGCACTGGGACTCCTTTGACGACATCCCGTGGGCAAACCTCTGCGGGTTTTCCCTTCTCCTGCTGAGTAAGTGGCACCAGTCCGAGGCAGAAGCCCCTGCAAGCAGCGGCGGGCGCAGAACTCGCTCTCCTGCTGTCCTAGAGTGCGCCATTTGTCAAAGTCCTTGCATAAAGACAATACTTAAGGTTTTTTAAAAAGATTTTTGGGGTGGCCTTGGAAGGTAGGGCTTTAGAAAGATGGGTTTATTTCACTGTAAGTGCTAAGTGCTCTTAAATTACCGAGCCACCTCCTTACCCACTGTCTTCATTTTTATTTATATGTCCGTGTGTACGAGTGAGTGGATATGTGCCTGTCAACGTGGAGGCCAGAGGAGGTGGTCAGGTGTCCTGGAGCTGGAGTTACCAGCAGCTGTGAACTGTCTGATGTCAGTGCTGGGAATTGAACCTGGGTCCTCGGAGAGAACAGATGCTCTTACCTGCTGAGCCATCTCTCCAGTCCCACTCCTTGGAGTTTATGAGGGCTCTGTAGAATCGTGGTTGTTGTCATGGTAACCGTCCCAGCAACCATTGCTGTTCTGACAGCACAGTGGCAGTCTGGGGTTAGTGCGTCCATGTAACAGGTGCCCAACGGCATTGCTAAAGCGCCACTGTTCAGTAAAGATGGTTAGTTACCGTTCTCACTATGGTTTTGCCATCATCACCACCAGCACCGCTAGATGGAGGCTGTTGCTAGGCAGAAAAGTGACGAGGTGCCTCATGAGGTCATTCTAGCTTCCCTTTGCTGCTGTGACAAATACAATGGCCAAAAGCAGCTCGGAGGAGGAAAGGATTCACCAGGATCACTTCCAGGCCACAGTCCACACAAAGGGAATCAGGGCAGGGGCTCGCCCAGGAGCTTGAAGCTATAGAAGACGTTGCTCGCTGGCTTCTTAGCTGTCGCTGGGTTACGCTCAGCTAGCTTCGGCGGCCTAGGTCTGCCTGCCTAAGGATTGCCTCTTCCCTCCATGGGCCAGGCCCTCTGACATCATTAACAATGAAGGTGTGTCCACCGGTCAGTCTGATCTGGGCAGTTCCTCATGAGACCCCCACTTCAGGTGACAGGGTATCAGGTTGTCAATTAAAGCTAATCAGGACATGTCACATCCCTATTCAGCCACCCCAGCAATGGGGCCATCAGTGAAGAACGGAGGCAGCCCTTTGGCCACCCTTTCCAGACCCTTTCCCTTTTCCAAAGCTCAGGGTCTGTGACTTGTTAGAACGCTCCTCCTAGCGCAATCCCAGACCTGCAGGGAGAAGCTTAAGTTCATGCAATGCCAGGACTCTTTGCCTGCCTCTCGTCTCCCTGAGAAACCGGGGTCAAACAGGTCAGCCAAGGGCAGAGCAGTTGTGAGTAACTCCGGTCTCCAATCTGTATTTCAGCATTCAATATTGTATTAAATTTTGGAATCGCTGTCACGTACCCCACACTGATGTCTCTTGGAATTGTCCTCAGTGTCCCCGTGAATGCAGGTAAGCACCGCCTCCCGGATGTCTGTGCACACCATCTGCTGGGCTCACACACAGGTGCACACCGTCAAATCTCCACCCTCGTCCAGCATCACTGTGGCTGCTGCGTAATGCTTAACCTCTGCAAAGAGAGAAGATGCATCTAGTGTGAAGCTGTCTAGTGTTTAGGCAGTGTTTTCCCTCGACATGTGTGCATTTCTGTTGTTCTTTTAACTATTCTGCTGGACTTGGGATGGAGCCAGCAGCCTCCCTAGCTAGCTCCTACCACTCATCTGTCTCCTCAGTCTTTCGAAACATTTTATTTTGAGGCAGGGTCTGGCTAGCCTTGAACTCACTTTGTAGCCCGGGCAGTATGAATTTGCCCAGCCTCTGGGATTACAGGTGTGTGCCATCAGGGCCAATTTAGCAGAGAAACTTCTTTTCCCAACTGAGCACAGAAAGTCCAAAGCTGACCCTACTAAGCATAGAAAGTTCAAGGCTGTCCCCACTGAGCACACAAAGTCCAAGACTGTTCCCACTAAGCCAGCAAGTCCAAGGCTGTCTCCAATGAGCAACAAAAACTGAACCTAGAAAAGCGTGGGGCAGAAAACAACTCATTTTTTTTTGCAAGTGGCTTTGTTGGGGAAAAGTTGCCACATTGGGAAGTCATGTGGAAACAGGTTGGCCCTCCAGTGAGGCAGGAATGTTATTTCCTCCTGCCTCTGGGGAGAGGGTGAAAGCCCTTTGTTTGGATGTGAACCTGCTTTGTCCTGCCCTGGGGCCCTGTAGCTGACACGTCAGCAGTTCTTCCAAAAGCCTGCCTTCACCCGTCCCTTACCTGCTCTCCCTGGCTGCCTTACACTGGTGTGAGCTTTATATTTCCTCTCCAGAATCCTTTGCCTCGTGCCCTGGCTTCCTGCAAAGTTGCCTCTGGACCCCTGATCCCAGGCCATTAGAGGACTGGCCCCGGGGACCTAACCCATATCCTCTTCACAGTAGAGTCTGCAGAAGAGACACCCCTGAAGCCTGGCTCCCCTCCCCCGCACCAGACCCCCGCCCTGCCCTGCCCCACAGCTCTTTGTGCCGCCTCACCTTGGCCAGGCTCTCCCAGGTGTCTCATGGGCCTCAGAACACTGGGCCCACCCCACCCCCCACTTCCAACCCCATCCTGGAGTCTGCAGTCCCCACGCATCTGCCCTTTGGTCTCCTGGCAGTTGAAGGCTGCGCCTGCCCTTTTTTTTTTTATTGAGGAGTAAAGGACACAATCCATAAAATGGCACTTCAGAGTGGGATGGTCGGACAGAGTGGTGACACAGCCTTGTAGTTGCAGCACTGAGGAAGCACGCACAGAAGGATCCCTGGGCTGGTGGACCAGCCAGCCGGAACTACTTACTGCACGCTAAGCTAGAGAGAGACCGTGCTGCCAAAAGGCAGCTGGTGTGCAAGGAACAACAGCTGAAGCTGCCCCTCGTCTCCACACACGGCACCCGTGTACACCCTGCACGTGTACACACACACACAGAGGCTTGAACGGGAAGAAGGCATTCAACAGCTGCAGTCTGAGTATGACGGGCTTCTGGAAGACGCTCCTTACCCAGCGCCCCCCACAGTTGGGTGGTTCATGAGGACATGGTAAAAGGCGCAGCCCACCTTATTTGGCACGGAGGGTTACTCTGGCTACAGCCTGCAGCCGAAGATTAGTAAGAAACGTTTCCTGTGGCTTACCTGCAAAACACAGGGGTAATCCCTTGTCAGAGGCAGGAGTCCTGACAGGCAGAGGAAGGCAGGGCCCAGTGCTCCGGAACTTGGTGGAGCAGAGCAGCTGCCAGCCTGCCTCGCACACCTGTGTCAGCTCAGAGGACTCTGGGTGAGCATCGCCAGCCAGTGAGTTAACTTGTCAGCGTTAATAACTGGTGTTTCTGAGAGCCCTCAGGAACTCTGGGAAGAACTGGCTTTGGGGTGAACTGTTGCCCTCTGGTTAGGGAGTGGAGAGAAGGAGGTGAGGCAGGGAAGTAGCAGATCCAAGCCATGGCTGAGAGGAGGAACAAGCCCCAGCAAGGTGAGCAAGGACAGCTGTCCAGGCAGTCAGGGGACAGCTGCCCAGGCAGTCGGTACTCAGAGCTGTGAACTCTTAAGTCTGCAGCCCCATTAGAAGGAGGGCTTTGTTGTGATTGTTTTTAAGGCTCTCTCTCCTGAGGTAGGCAGGCTTCACATGGGCTCAGCCTGGGTTAGGTAAGGAGAGAGGAGAGGTGTCCTCAGCCTGGACAGCACCATTGGGGCTGTTAGGAGAATTAGATTCTTACAAACTCATCTAAACTTCCCATTTCACCCTGTTACCTGGTTGCCCATCAGGACAAGCCAGGGGTCTCTACAAAAGCCCTCAGAGAACCGCCTCCCCTCGGACTTTGAGCCTCGTAGGAATCAGCGGGCATGGAACAACAAGAATTCTCCATTGAAGTTGGGTGTGCTGGCACTCACGTGTCACCCCAGCACCTGGGAAGTGGAATCAGGAATTCAAGTCTTCCTCAGCTACATAGTCCAAGGATAGCCTGGGCTACATGAAACTCTAGGAAACAAAAATGGTAGGGGTGGGGTGAGATGGTGGGTAAAGGCACTTGCCACCATGCCTGGTGACCTAAGTTAGATTCCTGAAATCTGAAAGAAGAGAAATTACTTCCAAAAGTTGGCCTTTGACCACTCACAAGATCATATGCATACACATTAGATGGATGGATAGATAGACAGATGATAGATAGATGATAGATAGATAGATAGATAGATAGATAGATACAGATAGATAATAGAGAGATAATAGATAGATCAATGATAGACAGATGATAGATAAATCAATATTAGCCAGATAGATGATAGAGAGATGATAGACAGATAGATGATAGACAGACAGATAAATAGAATTTTAAAAAGAAATTCACAAATAGTATCCTAAAAGAACAGGGTCAGGTTTGCTTATTGAAACATACACATATGTATACACATATAGTGAGATTAAATTATAAAATAAGTGTCATGTATGACATCAAAGATAATGTGAAAAGTACCAAAAATATAAATAGAAAATAGTATTTTCTTCATCCCCAAGCCCCAGATTAGCCAGAATCAAGCTTTGGCATGTATCAGTACCCTTACACTCTCAGTTACTCTCCGTTTATTTTTTTCTCACACTCCAGTCACCATTTACATTCAGGTGCTGGATGAGATGTGATGGTAACACACAGGCCTGAGGTCTCCGGGGAGGCAGGTGACGAGAGGGACAGGTGCCGTATCAGAGGCCACGCCAGCCCACGCCTATGGGCGCCTGGCCTGCCCCTCGTGCACAGCCCTGCTGCTGAGTAACGCTCTGTCTCCCACAGTGGTCGACCACTACACCAGTCAGATAGTCTTCAACGGGGTCCGGGTCATCGCCATCGTCATCATCGGCCTGGGCTTCCTCCTGCTGCTGCTCCCAGAAGAGTGGGATGTTTGGCTGATCAAGCTGCTCACCCGCCTCAAGGTGAGGAAGAAGGAGGAGACAGCAGAGACCAGCGGGGATGCGGGCACCGGCGCCCAGAGCAGGAGCAGAAGAGCCCGGCCGTCCCTCGCTCGCTGAGACCACCCCTCGAGGACTCTGGGACGCCCCCGTGGTAACGCTTTTGAGCTCTGCTCCTGAGGAAGGAGCCTCAGCTGGGCGAGGTGTACATAAGTGTACAGTTTTGGTAATCCGCAGTAAGTTCTACGGTATTTATTGGCATGTCCAATTTGCTTGCACTTTTCCACATCAGACCTTCCACTTAAGGGTACCAATTCAAAACGAAAGAGAAAAGAACCTCTCAGTGCTTCTTCAATGAATGTAAAGTGGGGTACAGTGAGCCTCGCAGCGATTGCTTCAGAGGACAGGCCGGCTGGACAAGCCAGGGCAAAAACTCTGCCTCTCAGCATCTGAAAATGACATTGTACACTGTGATTATTTTTCAGCTATAGTAGGTCATATTTTGTTTTATACCAGAACTGTATACTTAACTTTAAGGAATTTCAATGAACCAAAAGATAATGTCAGTTAATCCGGATGGATGGATGGATGGATGCATGGATGGATGGATGGATGGACATGTGGATGGATGGATAAGCATTCAGATGGATAGACAGGTGGTGGACAGATGGGTGGATGGGAGGGAAGAGGGAGGTGAAGCAGTAAAGGGTGATGGACAGGAAGATAAATGGAGGACAGACCTGCGCAGGTCACATGATAGAAAACAGAAACGTGAGTGTGCTGGCCTGCCCTGGTGTCTTCAGAGGACCCCAAGGAGAACCTAGTGCCTTCTATAGCCCCTCCGTCCTTCCCTGTGCAAAGCGAGGTGACATCGCATGTCCCTGGCGCTGTCTTATGATTTAGATGTAGAAATCTTAAAAAAAAAAAAAAAAAAAACACAAATTCTGTGTGTCTATGTGTGTACAAGCGACAAAGCTGGTGGCCGGTGTGTTTGGAAGGCAGTTGGCCATGTGTGGCATGCCCAGCAGCTGCGCTGGGGGAGGAAATGCTGGTGGCCTTCACTTCCAGACCAAGAGGAAATGGCATTTGCCGAGTCTGGAAAACCTTAAGAAACCTTAGGCCGGCTGTTTCCTCACGCCATTTAGGTCTGCCAGAACTTCTATCTGTGACAGATCCGTGCAGAGGGACCACGGCTAGAGTTTACCATATTTGAAGTTTACATTGTTACCTACAAATGGGAACCTGATTTTGAAACGGTGTCATATCCCAATGGTGCACTCTGGAACCACGGAGTCTTTCGTTTCCTGGGGGAAAGGGGCACTCATGACCTGAACTTTTTAGCCAGTTACTACCCTCAGTTTCCATTACTTGTTTGGCCAAATAGATTAATAAAATATTTGAAACAAAGTAAAGCGTCAAGTGTGCTCCTGGCGCCACGTTGTCGGCCCCACTGAGGGTCCTGATGCAGCCTGTCCGGTGCCTGTTGCTGTGGCGACACACAGCTGCCCAGCAGTCACAGGAACTGTCGGTCTCTGGGGCTGAAGAAACGGCCCGGGAGCAAGGCTCAGGTAACAAGCAGGAGAAGCTGAGTTCACGTTCCCAGAGCCCGCCGCATTTGTGCATTTGTATGTACAGCAAACACCCACAAACACACAGCATGCCCTCTCACATGCATGCATGCATTCACATGTACACACAGGCATGTGCATGCACGCACACGTATGCACACATGAACACATGCACGCACACATGTGGATGTGTGCTCTAACCCCAGCACCGCAGGCAACGGAGCAGAAGGGTGGGTGAAGCCGTGTCCAGGCAGCTGTAGCCATGAGCTCTGAGACCCAGGTGTCTCGCAGGGCTGCAGAGGGCAGGGTTCCGGAAGGTGGGTAAGAGCCCGGCCACCCACACCTGCAGTCTCCACTCCAGAAAGCCCAAAAGGCAACACCGGTTGGAAGCTCTGGCCTGTCATCTCCACCGCCAAACACTTCATGTAACCAGCCCAGGGACCATTTCCTTCCAAAGACACAGCATCATAAAGTTGGAGATACCTTGCCTGTAGCAAATCAATCTTCTCCTATCAGCTCATTAAGATTAAACAAGGGGGGAGGGGCTAGGGCGGGCTCGGCAGTTAACAGCGATGGCTGCTCCTCCAAAGGATCCAAGTTTGGTTCCCAGCATCCACCAGGTGGCTCACAACTGTCTGTAACTCCAGTTCCAGGAGACCTGACACCTCCTGGGGTCCACAGGTACCAGGCACACACGTAGTACGCATCCGTACATGCTGGCAGGACACCATAAACTCTTTTAATTTAAAGATAAAGAGGAGGGAGCTCTTCCTGCTGCCCTCTCAGGGACCCCCAGAGGCCGCCCCAGCTGGCACCCTGGAAAGTGGCTTTCTCACCATCAGGGAAGCTTCTTCTTGCAGAAGGCGAACCCAGGATCCCCAAGGGCACAGCGTGCAGAGAGAGACGTGGGGACACTCAGTCCCAATGGGATGTCCTCAGCAAAGCCCTCCCCTCCTGACTCTGGGTCTGTAGGGAAGATGAGAAGACTGTGAGAGCCAGAGGTGGCATCTGTCGAGGGAACAGCCCTCCAGACACCGCACACAGGACAGGGTCCCAGCGCTGAGAGGGGAGGCAGACAGACTCTCATCCCTGACAGGAAGCTCCCTGCCACTGCGGTCCCCTGACCTATGGCATCTCCTGGGTATATTAACCATGCCTCGGGGTGAGCAACCATGTTCCTGACTAAATGGCCAAAACAAGACAAAGAAAATAGTATTTTTGTAAATTTTTTGTCTTGTTTTCCTTTTTGGGAGTTTTTTTTTTTTTTTTCTTTTTGTCTTGCGGGTCAGTAGTTTGCGTATATTATGTTGTTACCTGTTTTGTATCTTTGTGGGTTTGTTTTGTTTCTGTAGTTCCTTTGGGGGTTTTGTTTTTTAAAGAGATAGAGGGGGTGAAGTTGATGGATACAGAGTTCAGAAGGCTCTGGGTGCAGTTGGGGGAGAGGAAAAGCATGATCAAAATATATCGTAAGAAAAAGCTTATAATTAAAAAAAAAAAGAATTGCCAGCACTCAGGGAGGGAGAGGCAGGTGGATCTCTGTGAGCTCAAGGCCAGCATGTCTACAAAGCGAGTCCAGGACAGCCAGGGCTACAGAGAGAAACCCTATCTTGAAAACAAACAAATAAAAAAGAACTGGAAGCAAAGACTACACAAGACATCTGCACAGCTGCTTTCAGGGCACCATTGTTGATGATACCCCAAGGGCAGAAGAGCACAGATGGGTAGCTGACAGATGTATGAATGGGAAGATTTATCTACATATGCATAAACAAAACGTGGTGCACTCTTACAGCGAAGACCTGTTCAGCCTTAGAAATCGATACGTGAACTCTGGCCCGCTGCAACATATCTGGCCTGTGAGGCCCTTGTGCAGGATGAAGCAAGCCCGACTCAAAAGGACAGGTGCCATGCAGCTGTGCTTTCGAGATCCCTGGGAAGGCCAAACTCAAGCACTCCTGTAATCTAATGCAAGAGGCAAAACAAGAGGTCCACCGCAAACCTGAGACCACCCTGGCTGTGTAGTGAGTCCGGGCCAGCCAGAGGCCCTGTCTCAAAAAATATAACAGCAATAGCAACCCCCCCAAATCAGAACAGAGCAACAAAAAGCAGAAAAGACGGAGTCTGCTAAGGACTGGGGAAGGAGGGGTCTGTGTGGTTTAGGGCACAGAAGGTCCTGGAGATCAGTGGTCCCCACAGCTGTGCAGCTAAACACGCATGACGTCACGCAGAGGAGCTGTTATATGACTATATTCTGAACTTTTAGAAATGACTCCAAATACAGCATGTATGATGTAAAAAGGTTAAAACTCTGCTGTTTCTGGGTCACCGTGGGCCTGAGTTGAAGTGAGGGTTTCCGGAATGGAGATCCCCACGGTTTTTAAGCCCTGGGAACACAGGGGAAAGGCTGGCAAACGCCGAAGGAAGCTGCTAGCGCAGAGGCCACCGTGCTGGGAGGGGCCTGCCCTCTAGAGGTTAGTACAGGTAGCAACTGCAGACCGGCTCTGTGTTTGGCTCCTGTGAGTGCGTAAGTGTTCACGTGCATGTTTGTGCATGAATGCAGGTGCAAAGGTGCGCACGAGCCAGCGGCTGAAGTCCAGAGTTTGGCATTTGATTCCTTCCATCACTCTGCATGCTGTTTGAGACAGGGTCTTGTGCCGATTAGCCTGGCAAGCTCCATTCGTGCAGGAACCTTCCCTGCCTGTAAGAGTGTGACACTGGAGTGTAACTCCGGCCACGGTTTCTGCAGCAGCTTCCTCTCTCTTTCACAGGTAGGACAAGCACCTTACAGAGATGCCATCTGTGAGTCAGTCTCCAGCTAACAGACAATCCCTAGATCAAGATCTCACACCCGGGGAGTGAGTTAACATTGCTGTGTCACAACACCACAACCAAGAGCAACATTAGGAGAAAATGGTTTTCTTACAACTCAGAAAGAATCACAAGGCAGGAGCCCGGAGGCAGGAGGATTAGTGATAGAATGGTTTAGTGCGTAAATGACACCTAGGTAGACAGAAAATGGTTAATTGTTAAGTGATGGACATAGTCAACAGACAGATAAATGGCCATGATAAGGGATCGTGCTGAGGGATACTGGACAGACAGACAGAGCACCGAGCACTGGACCACTGAGTCATGTCCCTGGCCCGGTTTCTTTCTCATCCTTGATTTGCTATCCCCAAAGTAAATCCCTAGCTTTGCATGCTCAAGCCATGCCTACCAGCTTACCCCCTTGGGAAAACCCTAATTGTGTCATTCTTTTGAAGCAACATTTGGAAAACCCTTGACATTCAAACCAGTCTGGCCCATCACTTTATTGTGCCAGATCTCCATAAAAAAACTGCCACTCCTGTCAGGCCCATGAGATGGGACGTAGGCACTGGGCTTGTTCTCATGGCTGTTCCCCAGGGCTACACGGTAAGACCTATTGCTGGAGGAACCAAGCACTTCACCGCAAGACATAAGTCACGCAATTTCAAGCCAACCAGGAAAGTCCTCCCCAGGGTCTGGTTCTCACGGCACCAGCGATGCTATTGCTGTGTGACAAAACTTTCTGGGGAGACGCAACTCATACCTGCTCACCCCAGATAGGGAGCCCTCAGCCTATCAAAGTACACACTCCACCAGGGTCCAACCTGGTGAAGACAATGAGTTTTCACTGGGGCTCCTGACAGGAGCATCTGTGAGGGCTCACAGGAACACACATCTGTGAGGGCTCCTTACAGGAGCATCTGTGAGGGCTCCTTACAGGAACACACATCTGTGAGGGCTCCTTACAGGAACAGACATCTGTGAGGGCTCCTTACAGGAACACACATCTGTGAGGGCTCCTTACAGGAACACACATCTGTGAGGGCTCCTTACAGGAGCATCTGTGAGGGCTCCTTA